AAAAGCATTTTAGTAATTCTCGCATGACTTGTTAGGAACTTGAATCTCGTATAAGGAATATGAGACTCGATATAAACAAGTGAACATTTGATCACCATCTTCAGGCGTGTAAAACACACTATTCTAAATTTTTTTTATTTTTTTTTACTAAGCACCAAAGGTAATTAAACTAGAATTTTTGAGATACAAGATGTCAAATTTCTCATGTTACTTTTATGAGAAATTCACCAAATGAGTAACTTGAAATTTTTAGTATGTCAACATTCTTTCGTAAACTCTACAATAAATTAGTCAAGAATCGTATATCCTAGTAACATATGAAAATTCTATTTTATATATCCACCATCAAATATCCTCTCATTTGTCCTCTTAAAACATGAGTAATAAAGGAGGAATCTAAGACTGTTATGAGAATTCCAAAAACTTTTGTAACTTTTATAACTGAGTCTCAGGTTCCTTATACGCGACCTAAGTTCCTCCTTCATTATTCAGATTTTTAAGAGGACAGATGAGGAGATGCATAATAAAGGATATACATACATATATATATATATATATATATATATATATATATATATATATATATATATATATATATATATATGAAATAGGTTCAGGTGCGGTTAAACAGAGACATTGATTCTGCTTAAATCAATGTCCAAGATTACCAAAATTAAAAAAAAAATGCAGTGACAATTTGGTAATTTTTGTATCTAGGTCAAAATTAATGTGAGTGGTTTTGTGATTAAGGTGCGTGAGTTTTGTATATAAGGCGCGTGAGTCTTGTGCGTAAGGTGCGTGAGTTTTGTGCTTAAGGTGCGTGGGTTGTGTGCTTAATGGTAGTAATTGTTGAAACTTAAGGTGCGTGAGTTTTGTACTTGAAGTGTGTGGGTTTTGTGCTTAAGGTGCGTGAGTTTTGTGTTTATGGTGCGTGTGTTGTGTACTTAATGGTAGTAGTTGTTGAAACTTAAGGTGCGTGAGTTTTGTGCTTAAGGTGTGTGGATTTGTGCTTAATGTGAGTAGTTTCTGAAACTTAGGTATGTGAGTTTCCTTCTTAATGTGCGCTGTTTTCATACTTAAGGTGCGTGATTTATATGCTTAAGGTGTGTCAGTTGTGTGAAACTTAAAGTGAACCATTTTTGAAACTTTAGGTGCGTGGTTTGTGTTCTTAAGGTGCTTTGTTATGTGCTTAAGGTGCGTGGTTTCTGTTCTTAAGGTGTGTGATTTGTATTCTTAAAGTGTTTTGTTTGTATGCTTAATGTGCGTGTGTTGTGTACTTAACGTGTATCAGTTTAATGCTTAATGTGCGTCCAACTGCACAACCGCACGAGAAGCCATTCCCGCGCCTGATCCCTTCCCATATATATATATATATATATATATATATATATATATATATATATATATATATATATATATATATATATATATAGGGTTTGCTTCAATTAAGAACTCATCCTTAGGTAGGAACCTAAGAACTAATCCAATCAATTAAATTTTCAATGATTAATGGTCAAGATAATCTATCAATTTAATGTGCATCTAAATCATAATTAATTTTAAAGGATATTAGTGTAATTTCGACCAGCAAACAATTAAATGAAAATATTATATTTAGATTTTTTTTCAATGATTTTAAGAAGACAAAATAAAGAAGGATTTCTTTCAAGTTGTGACTCTACACCAATACTGTTATTGAGCTTCCTTGTGCATCTCAGAAATTAGAAGTTGTCTTCACGGAGTACAATTCTTGTCCTTGTCCACATGTTTCATCTCATATGTATGTTAGGGATTTTAGATGATAGGATTTAGGGATTTAGATTTTAATTACTCTCAAATGAGGTGCCATGAGTTGAACTGTGTGCACTTGGGTTGATAGATTAGGGTGTACACTTGGGTTGACTGTGTGTGCCAAAATTTGCAGAATTAGTTTGTGTAGGAAAAGATGTTAAACATTTTGGTGTGCACTTCGATTGTGCTGTGTGTGCACTTAGATATAAATGTGTGTGCACGTGGGTCAACGAATTTGTGTCATGATGTTCAAGAAAACTGATATACGAAATATCATGTGCATTTAGGTTAACGAATGTGTGCATGCACCAAAACCAGATTGATGTTAAAGATTATGTTGTGCACCTAAGTTAAATGGTTTGTGCATCACGTAAATAATGAGTATGTGGATGGAAAGTTGTAAAACAAATTGGTGTGCACTTGGGTTTATAGATTAGGATGTGCACTTGGGTTGACTGTGTGCACTTAGGTTACATTGTATGTGTCATAATTTGCATAATTATTCTGTGTAGGAAAAGATGTTAAACATTTTGGTGTGCAATTTAATTGTGCTCTAAACAGACTCTCAAAATGACGAGATTACAATAAGATAAACCAAGACCCAACAACAAAGACAAATTAAAGAAGGAAACTAAATGAGAAACCTTATACTAAAAACACAAATGAAAGACAACACAAAGACCAACATAACCAACAATCTACTACAACTACAGTAATTAAGAAGGGGTACGAATCATTTCCTCATCATCATCAGGTGCGACAGCTCGAACACTTCTCCAGCGGAACTGCTCACCATCACCTTCTTCTCCTACGCGGCCTCCGACGACATCGTTTTCGCTATATGCTTATGTTTTCGGGCAATATGAAATGTTGCGGTGAAGGTGGGGATTCGAGAGTTCTTGAATGAATCTGCATAATTTTGGCGAAGGCTGCGTAATGCATAAAGACTGTACTATGAAAGGGTTTACTGATAATAAAGCTTTGAAATTAGGAATTTAGGATACTGTCAATCTCTAACTCTATATAATTAAATAATAAATAATATATATATATATATATATATATATATATATATATATATATATATATATATATATATATATATATATATGTATATGTAGATGAACAAACATATAGGAACCCATCTTTAGGTAGGAACCTAGGAACTCATCATAGCCATTTATTTAGGGCGATCAATGGTTTAGATTAAAACCTATTTTTACGAGATTTTTATTTATTTTAGGTAGTTGTGGGTATTAAGGGTATTTTAGTGCATATATATATACATATACATATATATATATATATATATATATATATATATATATATATATATATATATAGGGTTGAGTTCAAATGAGGACAACAATATATAGAGGACTATGAGGACAAATAATGGGCACACAACAAATTAATATCAGGCACACAACTTAATATATAATGGCACACAAGAATAAATGTAAACATCAGGTTTCGAACTCAGGCTCTATAAATTAACAAATCTAGCACGCGACATACAAACTGTGGCACACAACTGCATTCGGCCATGCACACGACATACCGGCTAATGGCACACACTACATCTGTCCTCACAATCCTCTATAATATACTTGTCCTCATTTGAATACACACACACACACACACACACACACACACACACACACACACACACACACACACACACACACACACACACACACACACACACACATATATATATATATATATATATATATATACATATATATATATATATATATATATTGATGGAATAATCACGGAGCCGGAGCGAAGCCAGATGATTTAGACCGGGTCGGACCCCGCGATACAGGGCGGACCACCCCGGGTCGGCCCAATGGGGGTCGGCATGGGCCGAACTCCCGGGCTAGGCCACGTGGGCTCGGCCCCTTGGCCGAGCTCCGTGCTCGGCCAAGGGCCGGGTCCTCGCGCGGAGCGAGTCCCGCGGCTCCTCCCGCGGGCCTAGGGCCCGTAGCAGCCAGGGGGTATATAAACACCCCCCGGTGTCCTAATTAGGCATCTCATACTTTTCCTACAACATTTGTCTTGTTATTACACGTCCTGAACCTCTGTAATAGCGTTTTGTGCTCAATCAATATAATATTTATCGTTTTATTATTTATTTCTTATATTCAAACATATATACGAGTTGTATAATTCGGACCCCCGGGTTCATATAATCCATCATTGGTACTCATGTTCATAGCGGCTGTACAAGCTTAAGCGCTCTCCCTATTATCCTTCATTGACAACAATGGCAAGATCCGGGTCGAACACCCACAATTCGCAGGGTTCGCGCAACCCACGCGACCTCGCCCTCGTCAACCGCCCCAACGGGATCGTGGCAAGCCGACAGACCATGTCCGTGGGGGCCGGGGAGGACCTCCGAGATCAGATCAACGGGAGTCGGCAGGGGGCCGTGAAGGACCTCTGGGGTCGTCTCACCAACAATCGCCCCCTCGGCGGGACAGCGCCACCCGCGCCACCGCAGGTCCCGACCTCCCAACAAGATGCCGCCATACTGGAGCAGGCGGCAAACGCGCTCAACGGCGTCGCGGCATGGCTGCGCCGGGGTGACCCAGCACCCCCACCTCCGCCCCCTCCGAGGGTGCGCAGTGGCCCCAGCACTCACGCACCCCGGGAACCCGCAGCGCTGGCTGAGGGGGAAGTCAATTCACCACGACCTTCTGAGAGGAGCGACGGGGTGGAAGCCACCCGAGCAGCGAGAGGAAAGGCGGACTCGGCCGGCGCGGACCACCTCCGCGCTCGGGCGGTTGGGCCCACGTGCACCAGCGCGAGACCGCCTAGGGCCGGGGCGGCCACACACGTCAGGTAGGAGGAGTCATCGTGCTCACGGAGGTCCCGGAGCCACGAACCCCGTATCCCGAGGACGCGGGAGCTGACCCCACCAGTGGAACGCTCGGGGGAGACCAGAGGCCAACCTCCGAGCATCCAGGGTGAAGAGATGGAACAGTTGCGTCGACAGATCCGCGAGTTGCAGCGTAAGATGGAGGCGTGCGACGAGTCACCGGAGCCCCGGGACGCCTTGGCCACACCCTTCACGGGGGCCATCATGGCCGAGCCCCTTCCTCGGGACTTCCGATTCCCGACCATCAAACCCTACACGGGGGCGACGGACCCGCGGGACCACCTCATGAGGTACAAGGCGGTCATGATGATGACAAGCGTTAATGACGCCATCATGTGTCGCAGTTTCTGCACGACTCTGGATGGGCAGGCCCAGGATTGGTTCGGGTCCCTCCATTCCCACTTTTGCGGTCCTGACCAAGAAGTTCATGTCGCACTTCACGGGCAGCATACAACGGCGGAAGCAGTTCGCCGACCTATGTTACCTAAAGCAAGACAAGTCGGAGTCTTTGGCAGAGTACCTGAGTAAGTGGAAGAAGGAAGCTATGGGGGTGACAAATTTCAACGAAAGGTCCGCCATCCCGTTTTTCACCAACAACCTCATGTCGGGTCCTTTCCACAACGACCTTGTTTGGAATGAGCCGAAGACGTACACAGAATTGATGGACCGCGCCGCGCGGTACGCCAACGCAGAGGCAGCAGAGAAGAGGAAGAAGGAGGAGGAGGAAGGCCGCGGACAAGGCAACAAGGCATCTCGTCTTCAAGAGGATCGCTGCCCTCCCCGGTCGCGACATGACCGGGGTCCCCGTCTAGCCCCGCTACGACACCTAACCCCGTTGACACAGCCTGTAAGCGTCATCCTGGACCATGCAGAGGACATGGGCATTGTGTCGTTCCCCGAGGAGTGCTTAAAGATCTCCCCCAAGGCCGACCCGAAGAAGTACTGCCGCTTCCATCGGCAACGTGGGCATGACATCGACGAATGTATGGTCCTCAAGAGGCAGATTGAGGAGCTCATTCAACGAGGATACCTGGGGCAGTACGTGAAGAGGTCCGGGTAAGACCACGCTAAAGGCCCCGACAACACCCGAAAGAAGAAGGATGGCGCTGGGCCCTCTACCTCTGCCCCGCTCAAGAGAGAGCTTGGCCAACTAACGGAGGACGAGGAGACCGAGCCAGACAGCCCACCAAAGAAGAAGGTCATCCATGTCATCTTCGGCGGCCCGGAGGGAGGAGACACACTCGCCGAGAGGAAGAAGTGGGCGCGGAGCCTGTACGTTGGGGAGGTCATCAGAGCGCCCCATGAGAAGAGGACACGCAGGGAGCCCATAACTTTCACTGACGACGACCTCCCGGATGACCCCCTACCCCACCAAGACGCATTGGTAATCAGCTTGGACCTCAACGACATCATTGTCCACCGGGTACTGGTAGATACGGGGAGCTCTGTGAATGTCATGTATTATGACACCTTCACGCAACTCGGCCTATCCAGGAAGCAGCTTTCCCAGGTTCGGACCGCGCTATCCGGCTTCACCGGAGATTCCATTGAAAGTTTGAAACAGAGAGATCCGTCACCCTTAAGGCACAGATCAGCACCCCAGCACACGTCAAGACATGGGAGGTAGAGTTCGTGGTGGTAAAGATCAGCTACGCCCACAACATCATCCTCGGTAGACTTGCTTTGGAGGACCTCCGGTGCGTCATCTCCATGGAGCACCTTTGCCTCAAATTCCCTACTCCCACCGGAGTGGGCATCGCGAGAGGATACCAGAAGATTAGCCATAGTGGCTACTTGAAGGCCTGCCGCCAAATAGCGAGGAAGGACCTCGAGGTACACACAGTAACCGAGAGGGCACTCAGGGAAGAAGAGAAGCGGCCCCATGCCGAACCCATGGTGGAGACGGAAGAGGTCATCCTGGACCTCAGCCGACCTGACAGGATGGTGAAGGTGGGCACAGGCCTCCCGGCCGACCTCCGGGGTCGGATTGTCGAAGTCATCCGCAGCTATAAAGACGTGTTCGCTTGGGGTCCCGAAGACATGCCGGGCCTCAGCCGGGAGGTCATCACACACAAACTGGCGGTGGACCCCAAAGCCAAGCCTGTTCAGCAAAGGAAGCGCTACCTCGCCGCAGATAGACGAGAGTTCGTGAAGAAGGAGGTCGACACCCTCCTTGAAATCGGGCACATCAGGGAGGTCACGTACCCGGCATGGCTTGCGAACGTAGTCCTTGCACCCAAACCGCCCACGTGGAGGATGTGTGTGGACTACACGGACCTCAACAAGGCATGCCCCATGGACCCCTTCCCACTACCCAACATAGACCAGCTGGTGGACGAAACAGCGGGATGCGCGCTCATGAGCTTCCTAGACGCCTTCCTGGGGTACCACCAAATTTTCATGCACGAGGATGACGAAGAAAAGACGGCGTTCACCACCCCCGAAGGGGTCTTTTGCTATCGGGCTCAAAAACTCAGGAGTCACGTACACAAGAATGGTGGCCAAGGTATTCAAGAAGGTCCTCGGCCGGAACTTGCAAGCCTACGTGGACGACATGATTGTGAAAAGCACGGAGGCCGACCTGCACATAGCCGACTAGACTGATGTATTTTCCATTATGAGGCATTTTGATTTACGATTGAACCCCAAGAAATGCACTTTCGGGGTACACGGAGGGAAATTCTTGGGGTACAAGGTCTCAAAGAGGGGTATTGAACCCAACCCCGAAAAAGTCAAGGCCATCCTGGAGATGGAACCCCCAAGGTCCCTCTGCGAGGTCCAGCGCCTCAATGGTCGGCTGGCGGCCCTCGGCCGATTCCTCTCGAGGTCGGCCGAGAGGTCTTTGCCGTTTTTCGGGGTCCTCAAGAAGAACCAGGGGTTCGAGTGGTCAGACGAATGCCAGAAAACCTTCGAGGACCTCAAGACGTACCTCATGACGCTACCCCCCTTGGCCAAGCCGGAGAAAGGGGAGGTGTTGTATTTGTACTTGGGCATCTCGCAGGCCGCGATCAGCTCCGTACTGGTCCGGGATGACGCGGGGACCCAACGCCCGGTGTACTACGTGAGCAGAGCCCTCCGAGGCGCCGAGCTCAGGTACTCACCCACGGAGAAAGCAATCTTCGCCGTGGACGCCACGGCCAAGAAGCTCAGGTATTACTTCCAAGCACACCCCGTACGGGTCCTCACCAACCAACCCCTCGAGGCAGTACTAAGGGCCTCAGGGTCGGCGAGCAGGTTGGTCAAGTGGTCCATGCGGTTGAGCCAATATGATGTCCAGTTTAAGCCCTGACCCACAATCAAGGGACAGGCACTCGCCGACTTCATAGTCGAGTGCACTGCTCGCGAGGCCGCCGAACTAGCCCGGAGCGACGAGGAAGATTGGTGGACCCTATCCACGGATGGCTCGTCCAGCCCCAAAGGGTGTGGCGGAGGGGTGGTCCTCGTAACCCCGGAAGGGTTCCGGGCCTACTACGCCCTTCGTTTCCACTTCAAGCTGTCCAACAATGAGGCCGAATACGAGGCGCTGTTGGGTGGCCTTAGGCTGGCATTGAGTCTGAGAACCTCCAAAATAAGGGTGCGGTGCGACTCCCGACTGATAGTCGGACAGGTGAATGGTGAATTCGAGGCCAACGAGGAGAAGATGAGGAGATACCGCGACGTGGTACTCCAGGTCCTCGGTCAGTTGACCCTCTACGAAATTTTGCAGGTACCCCGAAGCCAAAACGGGGACGCGGACTTGCTCTCCAAACTAGGCCTTGGCACTCCGGAACATGTATCTAAGATAGCACGGATTGAGGACCTCCAGAGGTCTAGCTTGGAGGCCTACCCCGTCCCCCCATACAGACACAGTCCCCATGCTGGTTGGACCACCTCATGGAGTATAAACGAACAAGTACCCTGCCGGCAGACGAAGCAGACGCCAAGGCGGTCAAGAGGAGGTCACCAACATATGTCCTCCTTGGAGACACCCTTTACAAAAGGTCCTACAACTGCGCCCTCCTCCGATGCCTATACCCGGACGAAGCCAAGTCCGTCAAAGAGGAGATACATGAAGGCACCTGTGCTGCACACCAAGGAGCTTTCGCCATGGCGAGGAGGGCCCTCTTGTAGGGGTATTTTTGGCCAAAAATGGCCAAAGAATGCGCAGAGTACGCCCGGGGGTGCCCGACCTGACAACACTTCCACGCAGAGCCGGGGCGGCCAGCGACCAGCTACACGCCCATCAGCACGGTGATCCCGTTCTCATGATGGGGAATCGACATCGTCGGGGCCCTACCCATGGGGTCCGCAAAGAGGAAGTACATAATAGTCGCCATAGACTATTTTACAAAGTGGGTGGAGGCGGAGCCCTCGCCACCATCACAAGCACCCGGTGCACGGAGTTCATACGGAGGAACATTTTGTACCGCTTCGGGGTCCCCATGCAAATCATCTCCAACAACGGGCGCCAGTTTGAAAGCAAAGAATTTAAAGCGTTCTGCGACCAATGGTACATAAAACACACCCGCGTGGCGGTGGCATACCCACAGGCAAACGGGCAGGTGGAGAACGCCAATAGAACTATAGTTGACGGCATCAAAAAGAACCTGGACGCAGCTGGAGGAACATGGGTAGAAGAGCTAGACACCGTCCTATGGGCATACCGCACCACCCCAAGAAGGGCCACCGGGGAGACACCATTTGCGCTGGCATATGGGTTCGAAGCACGGGCTCCCACCGAAGCTGTGATACCATCCTATCGGGTTGCGATATATGACCCCGACCTCAATGAGGAACACCACGCCACCGACCTCCACCTCATTGACGACAGGAGGAAGGAGGCCATGGTCCGCGCAGAAAATTATCAGCGTCAAACAAAAACTTACCATGACAACCGAGTCCGACCCCATTACTTCCAGGTTGGCGACTACATCCTCCGGAGGAGGGAGGCGAGCCGACCCCAAGACGGAGGCAAATTTGCAAAGAAATGGGAGGGACCATATGTTATTGACGTCATAGTACGACCGGGCAGCTACAAGCTAAGGACCACATCGGGCAAGGTGATAGACAGGGTGTGGAACTCGGAGCACTTGTTGAAGTTTTACCAGTAACAATTCACATGTATGACCTGTCCCCTCCCTAATAAAAGTCCGGGATCCCCACAATAATGTTTGTTTACAATCGCAATGGAATAATGAAGTTGTTGAACAATTATCCTATCCCGATGTAACACCCCTGATTTTCAAGACATTTAAAACTTATATAATAAAGGTAACATCTCATTAAATCCCAAAGCGTAACATAAGTGTACGGGGTGCTATGCCACACCTGGGCTAGAGAACCCAGGTGCACAGGCTGTCTAACTACTATCCTCCGAAATATAAATGCATAACATGGCACGCAGGCCGAAAGGGAAACTATACTACTTCTACGCTCCAGATCTAGCGCGCTCCAGTGCTCTAATCCTCTGTGCCTGAAAGCCAAATATATCTGTTCAGCGAGAGATGCTGGTAACCCACTCCAACGCGTTGAAATACAATACATATAGAGATATATATAGATATATGAAAACCATTATAAGCATGAAGATATATCCTACGAACTCTAGCTTTTAAAACCGGGAATGACTCGACAGATAAGGTCAGACACAGGCAATAGTTATAACGAGCATATGCAGTTCACGATAGATAAGGCAGATAAGGCAAAGCATAAACAATAATCACAACCCATCATAAACAATCCCTAATATAAATCCCATAGTCACATCCCAAGGCACTCATAATCACAACTCGTCCATATCACACACATAACGCACATTGTTGGCGCCACAGGACCGATCGCATGCCCATACATGAGGGCCAGCGCTTATAGCTCTGACACAGCCCCGCAGCACCATGCCCCGCATCGCAACACGGGGAGGTCGATCGCAACCGACCGATGAACCGCAGCTCATCATAATATTTGATCGCAACCAAACAGTGGACCACAGCCCAAGAGAGTGTCATCTGACCGCAGCCAGGATAAAGGACGAACCGCAGCTCGTATAGAAACGTTTGATCGCAACCAAACGGTGGACCGCAG